TGGTTGACAGTTACTCGCTGAGTCCTGTTGACAGAAAACTGAGTATCCAGCGTCCTACTTTACCGGTTATTCCCATTGACTTCATTTTGTGTGCTATCACGCCATGGTCACATTTATCAAAGGCCTTTGCGAAGTCCGTGTATATCACATCAGCATTCTGTTTCTCTTCTAATGCCTCAGTGACTTTGTCGTAGTGCTCAAGTAGCTGTGAGAGGCACGATCTTCCCGCTCGAAATCCATGTTGGCCTGGGTTATGAAGGTCATTGGTCTCCATGAAATTGGTGACCTGACTCCTAATCACTCTCTCAAATACTTTTATGATGTGCGATGTTAGTGCAACTGGTCTATAATTTTTTGCCAATGCTTTGCTCCCTCCCTTGTGTAGAGGGGCTATGTCTGCTACTTTAAGTGCATCTGGTATCTCCCCCGTGTCCAAGCTCTTCCTCCACACTATACTGAGTGCCTGTGCTACCGGCACTTTGCATTTCTTTATAAATATTGAATTCCATGAGTCTGGACCTGGGGCCGAGTGCATGGGCATGTTTTCAATTTCTTTTTCAAAATTTAGTGCGCTCGTGTTTATATCAGTTATATTTACCGGGGTTTGAATATCCCGCATAAAGAAAATGTCTGGATCTTCCACCTTCATGTTGTTTATTGGAGTGCTAAACATGTCCTCATACTGCTTTTTTAGGATTTCACTAATTTCTTTGTCATCCTCCGTGTATGAACCTTCACTTGTACGAATAGGTCCAATACTGGCAGTGGTTTTTGCTTTTGATTTCGCATATGAGAAAAAATATTTTGGATTTTTCTTTATTTCCTGAATTGCTTTCTGTTCTAACTGCCTTTCTTCAGTTTCATATGAGTGTTTCAATTTCCGCTCGATTTCTTCAATCTCCCTATTTAAATTATTCCTTCTTTGACGGGAAATTCGTGTCTGCATAAGCAGTTCCGTTATTTTTTTCCTGCGTTTATAGTGTCGTCTGCGTTCTCTTTCTACGTTAGATCTCTTTCTGGCTTTCCTCAAAGGAACATGTTTCAGACAGACTTGATACGCTTCTGAAGTAAGTTTTTCTATTCCTTCTGTAGGACTTGTATTATTTAGAACAGTTCCCCATGGAATGTTTGTAAGTTCCCTGTTTATTATCTCCCAGTCTATCCTTTTATTATTAAAATTGAATTTACTGAATAGCCCCTCTCGCTTTATCAACGTTTTAGGTCTATTCTGAGTATTGATGGTCGTTTGCACTTCAATGAGTTTGTGATCTGAGTATGTGGTATCTGATATCGTAATGTCTCTGATAATGTCTTCATTGTTCGTAAAGACCAGATCTAGAATATTTTCATTTCTCGTTGGCTCCGATATCTGCTGATTGAGTGAAAATTTGTCACAGAATCTAAGTAGTTCTCTAATCTGTGGTTGGTTAGGTCCTGATAGATTTCCTGGTATAATATTATTGTTTGCTATTTTCCACCTGAGACTAGGCAAGTTGAAGTCACCTAGGAAAATAATATCAGGTATCGGGTTCTCCAAATTATCAAGGCTATTCTCTATTTTGCTTATCTGTTCTGTGAATTCCTCAGCCGTTGCATCTGGCGGTTTGTATATTAGTATAATCACTAAATTTATTTTCTCTATTTTTAATCCCAGTACCTCTACCACCTCATTTGTAACGTTTAGGAGCTCCGAGCATATAAGGTCTTCCCTAATATACAGACCCACTCCTCCATGTGACCTAATTTTCCTATCACACCTGTATAGGTTATATCCTGGAATCCAGATCTCACTGTCCAACAATTCCCCTGCATGGGTTTCTGTGAAAGCTCCAAATACTGCATTTGACTCCGTGAGGAGGCCATTTATGAACTGTACTTTGTTGTTTGTTCTTGTTTTCAGTCCTTGTATGTTGGCAAAGATGAATGAGGTTACTCTATTAGTGATAGTTTGAATGGGAGACTTTTTCGGCACGTCCATTAATCGTGGACATAATGAGTTTGTTCTGACCAGTACTGATTGTTGTAGGGCAGTTTTCTGTCGTAGTTGTAGTTCCCTTTCGGTGGGTAATTGTATCTGTAATTCTGGAATGCCAGTGGATCTGGCATCCAGTTCCATACACTCTCCATGCTGCTCCTTTTGAATTCTCTGCCGGTCTGGTATAAAAAATTTATAGAGTTTCCTCCAAATTCATTATCCTGCTTGCCACTCTTTATGTAGCGTTCCGTGCCTTTCACGTGAAAGTGTGGGCAGCTAAGGTCATAGCATTTTCTGTCCTCCAGTGAGGTTTGGCACATGTCAGGATGGAAAAACCTACATATTGATCCAAATCGACACTCACCTTTCCTAAGCATATTTAAACATTTTTTGGGATGTTGGTAAATGCATTCCAATCCTTTCTTATTACCAGCATATCTATGTCTGCATATGCCCTTTGCATAAAATTTGCATAAGTCTGTCCTTCTGTTCTGAATTGCTCTATCGAGAACCGTCGTGGTGTCTGTACCTATCGAGCTGTCAGTGCTGTCTGGTACACTTTCTAGTTTACTGTCATCTACATCCAGGCCTACTGAGTCAGAGTTTGCAACTTCCTGAGTTTCAGCCTCAGTTTCATCCCTGACTATAGCCTCCGCCCCTTGTATATTAGAATTGTTGTTCCTTTCCCACTCCTTCTGGATGGCTGGTAGGCTTCCAATGAATGATGTTTTCCGATCATGCGTCATGTTATCTAGAAGGTTTTTTAGGATATTCCAAGCTGGCAGGTCATTTTTACACACCCAGAGCAAGTGGCCATCTCTCAGTGCCGTAGTGTTACTCACTCCTGTACAAGCCGAATGGAATCTAGTCTTACAGATATAACATTCAATTCCCGTTACCTTCGTCTTTAAGAAGTTGTTACAGTGGCCACAAATTTGTTTATTTACTCCCATATTGCCTTGTTTTGTTGTATATATCTATATATTTATAATATTATATGTATATTGTATATTTGTAACAATATATATATTTATATGTTTAATATTATAATATTATATGTATATCGTATATTTGTAATATGTGTGTTATTTTGTTCAAACTTTATGGTCGATCTCGACCAGTCCAGCCAAAAGGCATTGACTTCGATGCCTTTCGGGGTCGACTGTCCATTTCGTGGAGAGGGGAATGACGTCGATAACAATGTTATACTTAGTGCATTTTTATACTTTCTTACAATGTATTTTTTGGGGGAGCCCCATCGGCTCCCCGGAGCTATCCAGGCTGATATGCTAATATCCGACTTTGGCATCAGTCATGTGTATGGAGTTCTGTGGGCCTAACAGGGACCATGAGCCAGAACCTGGCCCCCCTCACAGGCACGAGGAGCAATGGCCTATAGAAACCCCTGTGTGGTTGAAAGCATTCTATGTCTGCCATTGACCGGTTAGGCACCCATAAAAGGTAAGCATCCCAAAGCAAACCCCAATTCTGTTGAAAATTGCTACAAAATGCTGAACAAGTGGATAAACTCCCCAAACAGAAATGAGCAAATGAGTATGACATTACACGTCGCTGCGCCGTCGTCTGCGCAGCTCCTCCCTCCCCGGGAGGGGGATGGGGAAGGGGAAGCCCCAGACCCTCACCCCGGCCATGCACCTCTCAGTTCTGAGGCTGGACATCAAAACACTCGTGAAAACCACCGACTAGGGGGGAGGGAGGGTTGCTGGGGGAGCCTCTGGGACTCGCCCAGAAAATGGCGTTTCATTACATTCAATGCTGGATTTCTGGGGGGAAGCCCTGTCGGCTTCCCAAAGCTACCTAACCACAGATAAAAACCATAGGAACCTACCCAGGAGGAGGTCACTGCTCACTCCTCAATGTGAAGTCGAGACAACTGGCTGCAACAGCCGACCCAAAACGACACAGGCCCGACTAAGCCCAGGAACGTTTACCAAGTAACGCACAGCCAGCACCCTGTTCGATCTCCAAAAAAACCCGCGCCCGAATGTCAACCCAGGACATATTACCAAAAACAGCAGCAAGAGCAGCAAACTTGCTAACATTATGGGCACGGGGATAGACTGCAGGCTGGCTAGGGCGAATAACCCTGCGCACGACCTGGAAGACCCGAACCCTGGAACAGGGAAGATGGGAAACCGGATCAACCCAAAGTGCATCCCCGGTTACAGTCCGTGGCGCGCAATTAACAGCAAAGAGCCGTAACTGGACACGACACATGATGCACCCCCTGACCTGATGAACCAAGCATCAACAACCCATGGACCCCTCCGGGGAGCAGCAGTCTCATTCTTCGCCAGAAAAGGAGGAGACAGCTGCAAATGAACAAACCTACCGCCAGGACCACACGAGCAGAAACCCATGCGCTGAAGGAGAGCATGAAGCTCCGAGACCCAACCCCAAGAGGCCAATGCCAACGAGAAGAGAGCTTTAGAGAAACAGTCCTGAACCAAAGGGGCCACTACGAACCGAGGAGAAGAGAGATAAGAGAGCACCAACTTCCAACTACACGGGGGTTTCTATAGGCCATTACTCCTCGTGCTTCTGTGAGGGGGGCCAGGTTCTGGCTTGTGGTCCCCGGTTGGCCAACAGAACTTCATACACATGATTAATGCCAAAGTCTGACATTAGCATATCAGCCTGGATAGCTCTGGGGAGCCTCCAGGACTTACCCAGAAAATGGCGTTTCATTACATTCAATGCTGTTTTTTTTTTTATACTTTCTTACAATGTATTGTACCTGTAAACACTTCCCCCCCCCCCCCGAGAAATTACCTTCTTAAAATTATGTTAGATTACTGACCTGCCCAAAATGCTATACGTCCTAGTGGCTTTACAAGAATGTAAAACATCAATGCTCTGTACTCTCATAAACCCAATGTACCTTCTTGTATATAAATAAATAAATTAAATAAATAAATAAATAAATAATGGTGTTTAATTACAATAACTTTTATATTTAGTCTATTTCTAACCAAATAAATTGAAGTTTGTATGCCGTTTTCAGGAGTGTTGTGGAGACCATAAATCGCAGTGCCTTTGTCACTTCTCCTTACCCAATCATTCTCTCTATTGAGAATCACTGTTCACTAATTCAACAAACAAGAATGGCACAAATCTTCATGCAAGTCTTTGGGGACAAATTAGTAACCAAATTCCTATTCGAGTCAGATTTTTCTGACGATGTTCATCTTCCTAGCCCCTCGCAACTCAAGTATCGGATCTTGATCAAGGTAAGATGATACAATGAAAAATACCTTTCACGAAAATAAATATTTTTTATGACTGACGGTAACAGCTAGAAGTATTGTTATTTTTTTTATCTGATTTAGAAATGTTTTAAGAGATTCAAAAAGGTTTTGTGTTTTTAACTGTTACACTGTACTTTAATTTCAGAAACCTATAAAAATCCTACATTTGTTATTTATGAATGTATAAAGTGATACAATGAGTTATGGGGGTATATATGCTGGTGGGGGAGTAGTACATTCTTGCAAAGCCACTAGCATGCATAGCATTTTGGGCAGGTCCTTTACCACTGCACTGCACATGAACGCCACAAGGCACCTAATCAAGGGTGCACAGAGCACCACAAGTCACCCGATCAATGGTGTACAGAGCACCATCTTGAGATGATTTCGGGGCTTTAGTGTCCCCGCGGCCCGGTCCTCGACCAGGCCTCCACCCCCAGGAAGCAGCCCGTGACAGCCGACTAACACCCAGGTACCTATTTTACTGCTAGGTAACAGGGGCATAGGGTGAAAGAAACTCTGCCCATTGTTTCTCGCCGGCACCTGGGATCGAACCCAGGACCACAGGATCACAAGTCCAGCGTGCTGTCCGCTGGGCCGACCGGCTCCCTTGTGGCAGAAACACATGCGTTTCCACATGTGTGCCATGTTGACATGGCACAAACCATATGGCAGTTTTAGGCATAGGAAGTGATTCAAAACTTTCTTCATGGGGCTCACATCCTGTGTCTCAGGACTCCAGTAAGCAGATGCCATCTTGAAAAAAAATTGTCAGCATCCATACTGGCTGTGAGAGCCTCAGTACTGAGAATGTGACCAAGGCTGGCACATGTTGCAGCAGCTCAGAGCACTGCTGTGCAGTTAGGGGCCACAGCACCACTTAGTAATGATGAATAAAATAGGTAACTGTAGTTATTTTGCATTGATGGTATTATAGATGATCCTGACTGTGATAAAGACTTTGTACAATGTTCAGATATCAGTGAATACATTCTAGTCACTTGGGCTCTAGGAGACTCGAATTGTGGACTCCATGCGTGTGTGAGGCTGAAGCTCTATTGACTGAGCTTTTAGTGAATACAATGTTAGCTACAATATTCATAGCATGAGGTAAAGACACACAGCATCCAGCCATTGTTTCCTGCATCTACACATCATGAAATTACCTCAGGTTCCTTCACAATATAACCTTATGGAAATGGATTCATATTCTGAATTTTTGTGATAGGAAAGTGGTAATAATAGCTGTTTTGTAGCTGGTCATAAGGAAATATGTAGAATTTTGGTGGCATTGTCTTGCATCACGACTGGTGGTGTCGTCTGTTTGTATCATGTGGCTCAATGCTGTGTTTTGATTTCATCACCATGCACACCAGAACTGCTTATTGTTGACCAAACTACACACTAGAAAGTGAAGAGATGACGACGTTTCAGTTCATCCTGGACCATTATCAAGTCGATTGTGAAAGAGGAAGGCAGCAATGACAATAAATAGGCAAAAGAGAGGTGAGGAGAAGGAAATCTTAGAGGACGAAAAAGCAAGGCAACAGGAACGGAAGGCAAGGCATAATAAAGAGGGTAATAATAGGAATATGAAAGGGAACATAAGAGAAAACAAGATAGAAAAAAAGATAAAAGGAAGGGGTAGGCTTATATTATGTCATGTTTGTTAGATAGGTTAGAACATTTGAGTATATACTGTGAAAAGGAAGAGTCAACAGCAACAAAGCCATGACTCAGGTTCATGTTGGCTATGTTTTGTATCGGAGCCGATTTGACAAGACGGCGTCTGTGTAGAGTAGAGGCAGGAAAGATTATTTTGGAGGAAGACCAATCAATAGGATAATTAGAATCCCTAACATGATAGAAGAGAGCATTGTTTGTGTCTGCAGACTTAACACTTCTTTTGTGTTCCTTAACCCTTAAATGGCGCCTGGCTATTTAGCATTTGTCACCCACAGGCACCTACCAAAAAAAAAAAAAAATCTTCCTAACCTGTTAAGTCGTGTTCCCTGATCACGGGAAAAATAAAAAAAAAAATCAATTGTACTTACTGGTGACATAATTGAGCCAACAAGATGGGCGATGACATCACTATTTGCATGTTCGCTCATGCACGGTGCGTCCCGAAGGCATCGCACACGGTCTTCAAGCAGCCAGAGTTGCCACGAATTTATTTTTGCATCATTATTTACAGTGTCTAGGCCTGTATTATTTGCAATATTAGTCACTAATTGTGTTGCACATAATGTTACATCACAGTTATTGTCAATAAATGTTGCATACATCGAGTATACACATGCGCACACAAATGTTTTCCATTACGCCGTTATATTATGTAATCACAATGTTCATTATTTTATATGTACACACTAGCACACACTATGTACAGGTTTTTGCACTATTATTGCACATTTAGAGTTCTTGGAGTGAGTGGTAGTCGTTGAAGCAGTCGACAGCACACAATGCAACTGCACACCCTTCACACCATGTTTGCACCATTTTACGTTTCTGTTCTCTCCGTTTTGTTGTTTTACATACTAGGCATTCACATTTGCCTATTGCACACTTTCCAGCTGGTGGCAAATTCTTTAGTCTGTGTTGCTGAAAGGCATCTATGTGAGCGAGTGAGCCTGGGTGTTGCAGCATGCTGCAACACTGGGTTCACGATTGGTCTTCGTATGCCAGGGACATCTTTACCAAACTTTGCTAATAACTGTGTTGCAAGTGTAAAAGCAAATGCACGGAAAATAGGTTTACGTCCAGTATTCACCAGATACAAATTATAGCAGTTCAACATGCTAATGTCAACAAGATGGAAAAACACTTTTTTCGTCCATTTCAATGTTTTCCGCACACACTCGATAGTGCTAACCATCATGTCAGCCTTATCAATCAAACGCATGTTGATATTGTAGTCAAGAACACAATCTGGCTTATATACTAGTTATTTCGTTACACGGTGCACCTTGCCATTGTTCACCATTGTACCCTCATGAACGGTTGTCAGCAGATTCACTTCTCACTTCTCTTTCCACCGTACTGAGAGTATTTGATCACATTTCCGTACCTGGCACTCGCCAACTGCAAGTCCACCATCAAACACTGGTATTTCCCTTCTTCGTGCCTTTACTGTGCCAAATAATCCGGTTCTATTTTCAATCAAGAACCTAGCTAGCAATGGACTTGTATAGTAATTATCTGTGTATAGGATGTGGCCCTTGTTCATCCATGGTGCCATCAGTGACTTCACCACACAATCCGAGAAACCATGTTCGCCATTACTGGGAATGTCTACATCGCTAGCTGAATACAGAATCATGTGTAACACATATCCTGTTTCACAGTCACACAGTACAAAGAATTTCAATCCAAATCCGTTTCGTTTGGAGGGAATATACAGTACTGCTTGAATGAAACACGTCCTTTGAAAAGTACAAGGGATTCGTCAATCACCAGCTTCTGTGCTGGTACATAAAAATCTCTGAATTTTCCAATCACTTTATTCATATAGTGCCTGACTCGCCAAAGTCTATCATCCTCTGTCCGGTCCTCATTACTTGCAAAATGCAGACGCCTGAGGAGTATCTGAAATCTGTCTCGGGACATATATTTCCTGAAGAAAGGTGTTGGAATAGTCAGATCTTTGCTCCAGTAATCTGTGATAGCGTGTTTTACACAGTGTTTCATCAACATACATATTGCAAGAAACACATACATTTCACCTATATTTCTGATTTTCCAACGTTGCAATTGTGAAAATTCTGTTATCTCTTCTAATGAGATGAGCTGCATGAAGGTTCGTTTGGTGTACAATATATTCCATGAGCGGCTCATCGTAGAATGCTGTAAAATAATCCAATTCACTCATATCCTCTCCATTATCAGGGAAAAGCTCTGTAATCTCAACGTCTTTATTGTCAAAGGCAGGAATTCGGGGAATAAAACCAGCACCATCACTCCACACTAGTACACCTGGTGTCCTGCGAGACGCAGGAGACGCAACAGGGGCACCATGGCGAGGAAGCGATGCACCCCGTGGACGAGCTGAAGCCCGTCTACGCACAGTACCTTCGCTACGTGCATGTGAGGTTGAAGCACATGAACATGAGGCTCTTGGTGCCTCATGTTGTTCCATGCGGTGGCGCTTGGCTGGGCGAGACACTGCTGACGCGACAAATTCTCGCCCAGTAACACCACTGGTACTGGCACCAGGCTCGGTAACACTATGTTCTGACTCCACATCACTAAAACCAGAAAAAGTCACCTTCCTCTGACTCATCACCGAAAATATCCTCAGACTCTAAATAAACACAGGAACTGTGTGGTCGAGGGTGAAATGGAGTAGACACTGGGCGAGGTGGCATGGGTGAGCATATAGGCCTCGCCATGGGAGGCGGCTGTATCTCATTTTCACTGTCCGTGCTACCATCATTGGTCAATTGTGTGTAGTTTTTATCAATGTCAGTCATCAAAATCACTTTCCTCACCATCAGAAAATAATTCACTGGTTATTTGCTCTTGGGCGAGTGATTGCGTGGTGCGTGCCTGGGAAGCGTTCGGCCGTGCGCTCGACATGTTAGCTGCTGGGTAACTGAGGCCTCCCACACGATGGTAGCGTGAGCTGGATTTTTTTTCAAAATGGCTGCTGTTTACTATAGCCCCTGGGCAGCGTATGGAGACCCCCCTATACCCCGTGGGCCTTTCAAATCTTGCGCGGTACTCCAAAACATCATATGATGTGTTGCGCAACTAAAGGGTTAAGTCTATCATTATGTGTATGGCCAGTTTCACCAAAGTATTGGAGAGAACAAGATGAACAGGAAATAGAGTAGACACCACCAGTATTAGAAGCAGGAGAAGCAGTGTGAACTAGATTGCTACGAAGAGTGTTAGTTTGTAGAAAGGCGAGCTTTATGTCAAGAGGACGAAAGGTATTAGTAAAGGTTTTGAGTTCAGATATGAAGGGAAGGCAGAGCAGCATGCTACTAGTGTTGGAAGCAGGT